GTTTAAATTATACCGTTATAAGGCAGATAGACAGAATAAATTGGAAGAGGAACGGTAAAGAATCTGAAAGGCGTGGATTTTTTAAAAAGATATTTATAGGGACCCTCGTTTTAAAAGAACCGGAGACAATTGTTCTAGAAATCACACAAAGGCGTGGAGTTGTTAAAAAAAAATATTTTTTAAGACCATTACAAGGCTTGGAATATTTTTTCAGGGACCAAAACAAGGCCTAGATTTTTAAAGAATATTTTTTCAAGAAGTACTTCTAAGGCGTGAATTTTTAAAGAATATTTTTTCAAAAAATACAAAGGAGTGGATTTTAAAAAATATTTTTCAAAGAATTATAGAAGGTGTCGATTTTTTAAGAATATTTTTACAAGGAGCAAAACAAGGCGTGAATTTCTTAAAGAATAGTTTTCAAGGACCTTCACTATGCGTGGATTTTTAAAAAAATATTTTTAAAGTACCTACACAAGCCGTGCATTTTTTAACGGACAATTATTCAATGACCTAGAAAAGTTGTGAAGTTTTTAAAGAACAATTTTTTAAGGACCTAGAAAAGTTTTGGAGTTTTTAAAGACCTTTTTTCCAATAATCTAAAAAAGGGCGATTTTTTAAATAAAAAAATGTTTAAGGACCTAAACAAGGTTTGGTTATTTAAAAAATACTTTTTCATGGATTTTTTTTAAAGAATACTTGTTTAAGGATCTAAAAATATCGTGGGTTTTTAAGAAAAAAAATTTTCAAAGGGCTGAAAAAGCCGTGGATTTTTTAAAGAATATTTTTCATGTTGTCAGGCTGCACCCCAAGAGTTTTTAATGACGTGAAATATTGTTCCTAGACCCAATGTTAAGTATACCGATCGTCATATCTCGACTAGCTGAATCGATTTAAACTAGCCTGTCCATTATAATTTGAAAACACGATACAAGCCACAGTTATGGACCAATCTTCACGAAATTTTTCATGTAGGATGGGTTCTGGCCAATGAAGACCCCTATTGTTTTTGGTAAAGATCGGTTAATATTTAGGGGATGTAATGGAACAAATACTTAATTTTTGTCGGTTTTGCTGGTCGCTCCAGAGGCAGCAATTATGGCCCAAACATCGCGAATTTGTACATGGAGAAGGGGAACGGGACAAAGAATAAGCCTGCCTGTTTTGATAAAGATCGGTCAATCTTTAGCGGGTAAACTGGATCCTGACTTTTGTGTGAAAAATTACAAAATTTGTATTCTACGGCGTATATATTCACTCGTGAAAGAAGAGGATGTGGAAGTTAAAATATTTCCAAGGTGAGTATTTTACCTTTACCACATTGATACCAATTATATTGTCGTATGTAGTAGGATATGGGAGTTACACTGTAATATTTAGATGGTCAGATAATAATTTTGGGATGAAGTGGGTCGAAAACTTACTTCTTTTGAATTTTTTCGAGTCGACCTATAACCCACAGTGAAGGGAATATGGAAATGCAATTAGAAGGGCTGTACTGAATATTAGTAATATTTGTTGACCTCAAGTCGGTCACGAAATATTGCCCAGGCTCGGAATAAAAATCCGCAGAAAGTTAGAGTTCCGAGGTAGTTATGTATAATGGTTTATTGAATAATTTTTCAAGGAGCACACAAGGCGTGACTTTTTTAAAGAATAATTTTTCAAGGACCTCAGAACAAGGCGTGGATTTTTTAAAGAATATTTTTTCAAGGACCTCAGAACAAGGCGTGGATTTTTTAAAGTATATTTTTTCAAGGTCCTCAGAACAAGGCGTGGATTTTGTAAACAATAATTTTCCAAGGGCCTCAGAACAAGGTTTGGATTTTTTAAAGAATATTGTTTCAAGGACCTCAGAACAAGGCGTGGATTTTTTAAAGAATATTTTTTCAAGGACCTCAGAAAAATCGTGGATTTTTTAAACAATAATTTTCCAAGGACCTCAGAACAATCGTGGATTTTTTTAAACAATAATTTTCCAAGGACCTCAGAACAATCGTGGATTTTTTAAACAATAATTTTCCAAGGACATAAAAATGGGCGGATTTTTTATAGACTAATTGTTCAAGTACATAAAAAATGAGTGGATTTTATAAAGAATAATATTTCAAGGATATAAATAAGACTGTTTTTTTAAATAATAGTTTTTCAAGAGCTTAAAAAGGCATCGATTTCTGAAAGACATTTTTTGGAGATCAAAGCAAAGTGCGATATCTTTTATAAGGATTTTTCAGGGACCGAAATAAGGCCTACACAGAACGTGCATTATTATTATTTTTTATTTCATTTTTTTATTTATTAATTTTTTTTGAGGAATATTTTTTCAAGAACTCAACAAAGAGTTGATTTTTTCACTTTTTTCCACTGTGCAAATCGCTTCCCCAAAACAAAAACAACAAATTTGGCAGACATACTCTATTTATGTACATCATTTTGTGGGTGTTAACTTACTAATAAAATGAAATAGAAATGAGATAGGAAAAAGAATACAACAAAAACAAGAACAACAACAGCAACATCAAATCTCACACATAAAATGAAGAAGTTTGTCGAAATGTTGTTGTTGTTGTCGTTGAATTGAATTCGTTACAAATTGAATTGCCGGCAAGCATCCTTTTTAATGTTCCAGCAAGGGCAAGGCTAAAGATGGGGAAGGGGGATACAACATACCAAGAGAGAAAACACAAAAAAAGAAACATCATGCAAGAAGTGTGTGTGTGTGTGTGTGAAAAAGAAAACTCCCTAAGCTATTGAAAACATTCGTATAAAAGTAAAATATCATGTTACAATTGTCGTATTCTTTGGATGCTTTCTTGGATACTTTTTTTCTGGGATACTGCTCTATAGTTTGGTTTGGTGGTGCGAACCAAAGACGAAGACGAAGAATAACAACAATAACATACGCTTTCCTTACCGAAAATCCCATCATCATCATTAGGGAGAAATTCTTTTTCATTCTAACTTTTATTTTTTTCCTCCTTCTCAAAGTGGTGAACAGACAGACAGACGGCCAGTCCGTACGAACATATGGTCATGCTTGTTTGAGTCTTGATTTTTCTATTACGTTTGTTGGGATTTTTTCCTTTCTCTTCTCCGCATCTTATTTGCCAAAAGTCTTCATTGCAAAAATCTGATCTGGGGGAGGGGTGGCTGTGCTACAAACATTGTGTGGTCTTTCGCAATAAAGCTGTTGATTAAAAAGTTGGTAATTTAAGGGGTTTGTTTGTCGTCGTCGTACCCCCAAACAATGGCCTGTAAATTAGTCGGCATAATGACCGTAACGACTTGGATTCGAATCATATCATCATCATTGTCGGCATCAACGAAGTCGTTCTCATTGTCGTCGTCATACAATAACGATGTTAAAATTAGTAATGAAATGTTTGAAATAATACCTAAAATCATGTGAGAATCATAAACAGAGGGCAAACAGTTCGACATAAAAGTGATTTTAATGTGTGGATGTGGTGTTTGACTAGTCGAGATGATGATTATAGTAATTTTCGATAGCCATATGGGAGATATGAATTGGTGTTTAAAAAAAAATATACAATTAGATTGGACTTAAATAAAAAATAAATGTAAAACGAGAGGCTAAATAAATCGAAAGGTAGATTTAATTTCCCCTCAGGAAAGAAATAATTCCCATTCCACATATCCATAAAATATTTATAGGCCCACCACCTATAAAATATGTTTTATAATGGTAGCTGGACCTTAAAATATTACTGCCTGCTTGTAAACCTTATAAGATCACGATAGAGAAATAAAATATCCTTAACAAATTCCGCGTCTTGCGGAAATATATCCTTAAAAACTTCTTTGCATAGTTCCTTGAAAAATATCCTTAAAATAGTCCATTGAAAAATATCCTTAAAAAATCCAAGCCTTGTATAGGTTCTTCAAAAATATCCTTTAAAACTCCAAGCTTCGTAAAATATCCTTGAAAAATATTCTTTAAAAAATCCACGACTTATATAGGTCTTGAAAAACATCCTTAAAAGTCCACTCCTTATTCGGGTACCCAAAAAAATATTCTTTAAAAATCAAATATCGACGCCTTTGTGAGTCCTTTGAAAAACTATTATTTAAAAATCCACGCCTTGTATGAGTCCTTTGAAAAACTATTATTTAAAAATCCACGCCTTGTATGAGTCCTTTGAAAAACTATTATTTAAAAATCCACGCCTTGTATGAGTCCTTTGAAAAACTATTATTTAAAAATCCACGCCTTGTATGAGTCCTTTGAAAAAAATATTCTTTAAAAATCCACGCCTTATATAGGTCTTGAAAAATATTCTTAAAAAATCCACGCCTTGTGTGAGTCCTTTGAAAAAATATCCTTTAAAAATCCACGCCTTGTGTAAGTCCTTTGAAAAAATATCCTTTAAAAAATCCACGCCTTGTGTGAGTCCTTTGAAAAAATATTCTTTAAAAAATCCACGCCTGGTGTGAGTCCTTTGAAAAAATATTCTTTAAAAATCCACGCCTTGTGTGAGTCCTTTGAAAAAATATTCTTTAAAAATCCACGTCTTGATAAGGTCCTTGAGAAAAATTTCTTTAAAATTCTGCATGCCATACGTAATATTAAAGGGGTAGGTAGGTAATGTTGTAAAGAAAATTTTCAGATCCGAAAATTTTCAACGAAGTAATTTTCCTCTACTTGGATTTGCAGCTGCTTGGCCAATAAACAGAGGCAGAGGTGAGAGAGATCACGGATCGTAAACCGTCCTATATGATTACTAAGTATTAAACGTTTATACTAAAAATTAGTCCTCCTACCTGATTTTATGATCTTAGTAAGAGGAATTAAAGCAATTCTGGAAAATCGCCATACTACCAAGGACAATTAGATTAGCCATATGGCTACCTGCCTTCTAACACAGGTAGCTATCAGGGCAAATAAATAGTGGCAGAACTTCGACAGCAAACATCATTCGTAACATTACACTTGCAACTAAAAGATCGTCATCTCTCTGAAGAAAATATTAAATCCCGAAAAGATGACAATTGAAGTATCCGTACCACCCAGGAAGGAATTGGTGACCCGTGTGCTGAAGCAAACCGGTCATGTTGGCTTCGATACCCTACCCGATCAGTTGGTCAACAAAAGTGTACAACATGGCTTTGCGTTCAATGTAATGTGCATCGGAGAGACGGGTTTGGGTAAGTCAACACTAATGGATTCTCTGTTCAATACTAGCTTCGAATCTGTGGCCAGTCCTCACACCCTACCCAATGTAAAACTGAAGGCCAACACCTATGAACTGCAAGAAAGTAATGTCCAATTGAAGCTGACCATATGTGACACGGTGGGATTTGGTGATCAAATCAATAAGGAGAATTCTTTTAAGGCCATTGTGGACTACATCGATGTACAGTTTGAATCGTACCTTCAAGAAGAATTGAAAATCAATAGGTCATTGGTCGATTTTCATGATAGTCGTATACATGCCTGCCTCTACTTCCTTTGTCCCACTGGTCATGGCCTGAAGTCGTTGGATTTGTTGTGTATGAAACAATTGGATAGTAAGGTGAATATCATTCCGATTATTGCCAAAGCTGACACCGTGTCAAAAGCCGAATTGAATAGATTTAAATCGAAAATTCTGGAAGAGCTCAGTAAAAATGGTGTCAACATTTATCGTTTCCCCACCGATGATGAAACAGTGGCTGATACAAATTCCACCATGAATGACCACATACCCTTCGCCGTGGTGGGTAGTCGGGAATTTGTGAAAATTGGTAACAAACAAGTTCGTGCCCGCCAATATCCCTGGGGTACAGTGCAAGTGGAAAATGAGGTCCATTGCGATTTTGTCAAGCTAAGAGAAATGTTAATACGCACCAATATGGAAGATATGCGTGAGCAGACGCACAACAAACACTACGCCCTGTTTCGTCAGACGCGACTCCTCGAAATGGGATTTTGCGATTTGGATAATGACAATAAGCCAGTGTCATTCCAAGAAATTTTCGAAGTGAAAAGGTCGACACATCTCAACGAACTGCAAGCCAAAGAGGAAGAAGTCCGCCAAATGTTTGTTCAGCGGGTGAAAGCTAAAGAGGCGGAATTGAAGGAAAATGAACGAGAATTGCATGCCCGCTTTGATAAGTTGAAAAAGGAACATGCCGAAGAGAAGCGGAAGTTGGAAGAGACTCGTCAAAAACTGGAGGAGGAATATATTGAATTTACCACGCACAAGAATCATTACACATCGAGTAATCACACAATGACTTTGGGGAAAAGGGGAAAGAAGTAATGATTCTCAAGGGCGACAATGTCATTTATTGTAGAAAAAATATTGATATTAATAAATTACTGCTAGCAATTCAAATATGTTTAAAACATTTTGATTTTTAATTTTAGAAATTTAATTTTAAAATAAATTTTTTTAAAATCTTTTAAGGAAATAAAATAGTTTTACTATACAAACATCTAAAAAAAGGCTGTAACAACCCATCAGTTCTATAGGTATAATAATCTTTCAATATGTATTCCGTACACAAAAAGATAATGTCCTCACGATTTGATAAGGACCTTGAAAACAATTCTGGAAAATATCCATGCTTTAGACAGACGATGAAAAAAATATTCTTGCAAAAACAAATGATAAGCCTTGAAAAAATGATTTTTTAAAAATCTATGTCTCTGAAAAATTATCTTTATAAAATCCACGCCATAGATACCCTCTGAAAAAATGTTCTCGAAAAGAGCCATGCGTCTGATAAGCCTTGAAAAATATACTTTAAAAAATCCAGTCCTGTGATAAGCCTTGTAAAGATAGATAGCCCTTGAAAACATCCTTAAAAATCCTTGTCTTAAGTTATTCTTTGAAAAATCCACGACTTCATTAGGTCTTAATTTCTTCTTATAAAAAACGGTTTAAAATCCACGCCATTTACCTTGAAAAAAATATTCTGTTAATTATCCACGCCTTAAACAGGCTATGAAAAATTATTCTTGAAAAAAATCCATTATTTAAAAATCCATTCCTATTAAAAATATTCTATAAAAAAATCCATGCCTCTGGAAAATATTCTTTAAATAATCCACACCTTGGATAGGCCTTGAAAAAATTATTCTTTAAATAATCCACGCCATGGATAGGCATTGAAAAAAAAATATTCTTTAAATAATCCACGCCTTGGATAAGCCTTGAAAAATATTCTTTAAACCAGTGAGCGGAGCAGTACAGTCGGACGGGGCCGACCATACGATACCCTGACAACTACCACGGCTGTTTATTTCGAGCCTAGGAAATTTTTGTTGTTATTTGCACCCTTTTCACGGATTAGAGATCAACAGAACCTCTTTCTCACACTGACTTATTTTCCAAAATTAATATTGACATAAAGCCCGAAAATTATATCCAGTTTCTCTTCACCGTGGGTGTGGTTGTGATTTTCGGATGTTCGGTTTGTGGCCTATAGATCGACTCGAAAAAAAAAGAAAAATAAGTTTTCGGTCCACTTCATCCCTATAATTGGTATTAAATTAAAGGTCTATCACTCCTCTTGGATATGTTATCAACTTCTCGGGTTCTTTAGGGGTAAATATATATGTTATAGAGTACAAATTTTGTAATTTTTTCCCACAGAAGTCAGGGTCCATTTGGCGCGCTAAATATTGACCAATCCTTATCGCTTATGCTTTGGACCAATCCCCTTCTCCATGTAAAATGTCGAGATATTTGGGCCATAATTGCAGCCTCTAGAGCGACCAGAAAACCGACAAAAATTATGTATTTGGTCCATTTCATCCCCTAAATATTAACCGATCTTTACCAAAAACAATAGGGCTCTTCATTGGCCAGAGCCCATAACTGGTCCATAACTGTGGCCTGTATCATGTTTACAAATTATAATGGACAGACGGACACACATGTCTAGATCGACTCAGCTAGTCGAGATATACTTATAGGTGGGTCTAGGACCAATATTTCTCGGCGTTACAAACTTTTGGGGCTGAACAAAGCTATAATACCCTGACAACATAGTTGTGTAGGGTATACAAATCCATGCCTCTGGAAAATATTCTATAAAGAACCTATGCCTCTGATAAGCCTTAAAAAACATTCTTTAAATAATCCATGCCTTGGAAGGATCTTTAAAAAAACATTCTTTAAATAATCCATGCCTTGGAACGATCTTTAAAAAAACATTCTTTAAATAATCCACGCCTTGGTTAGACCTTGAAAAACAATATTTTTTAAATAATCCACGGCTTGGATAGGCCTTGAAAAATATTCTTTAAATAATCCACGCCTGGGATTGGCCTTGAAAAAAATATTCCTTAAATAATCCACGCCTTGGATATGCCTTGAAAAAATATTCTTAAAAAAATCCACGCCTTGTATAGGTCTTAAAAGAAGATATTATTTAAAAAATCCACGCCTTGGATGGGCCTTGAAAAAGTATTATTCAAAAATCTTCGATCCTTGAACAAAATATTCTGTAAAAAATCCACGATTTATATAGGTCTTGAAAGTGTTATTTGTAAATCCACACGCTGTAGAGTCCTTGAAAATATATGTTTTTAAATCCACACCGTGTAGAGTCTCTGAAAACATTTTTTCTCTATGGTTCTGATAACCCTCAAAAAAGCATTATATTTATATTATTACTTTTCTTCCAAAATCCTTTTCCTTCGTACTCAAAGAGCTCTACATAAATCTCTTTTTTATTTTTTGAAATGACAAATTTTTGAATAATTACGACTGATTTGATTCCTTTGCTTTTTTATTATTCATTCCTTTTGTGCCTCGACAATGGCACTTGTTGTGTCTGTCACATTGTCCAATTGATGACTTCCAATAAGAAGAAGAATTCTTAACAATCAATAGCCTAAATAGCCAACAAATATTCGATATTTAGTTCGAAAGCATTCAATTTTGCCATATTGAGAAAAAATCTGTTTTTCTCCAACAAAAGCAAATGGAAATAGGCAGCTGGCATAAGCGATCAGGGGCGTGGTTGTTGAAGTGTATGAAGGGGTACTATTAATCAATGAAATTTCAATACTACATTGACATGAGACCATAATCAAGAAATATCTTAATTTCTTGATTATGGTCTCATTCCCTTTGAGGAATGATATTCGGTCGTTGAAATAGAGGGCTTACCTCGCCACGCCCCATATCCAGGATGGACTGACAACAATGGAAAATAATTGCAAAAACGAGGGTTTTTACTTTGCAATTCATAAATTTTTAAATATCTGGATATGTCTCTTTCTATCTTTTACTCTTTCCTGGAGGTTTGTAGGTTAGGTTCTTCGCATGATGACAGCTTATTCTGTTCAACTGACCTGGGTTGTTTGTTTGGATATTTCAGTATGAAAATTTTGATAGATGGCAATATAAAAAGAATAAGCAAATGTTTTGAATACCCAACAGATACATTGTTGAGAAATATGTGTTAATATACATAACAACACACATACATATATGAATGTGTAAAGTGAAATAATGTTCTCTAATTGATGAATGCATCCAAAAAATATACACTCAAATAAAAAAATTACTATATGATATTTTTGTAAAAAAATATTATTTATATATTTAAAACACCAACTGTGGCGTAAATGTTCTAATTTTTTTAATGGCCAATTTTAGCAAAAATATTAAAAAATTCTTAAATCGTCGATGTTTTTAGAAATTTTCGTTTCAAGTAACAAAGCGCAAACAAAAATCTTTATTGAATTTTAAAAAAGATATAAATTTGTTATTCTATTTTTCACTGAGCTCTTCTCAACTCCATTGTTTTGCTGTTGCCCTTCCGTTTCCGGATGTAGCCGGTTTTTTGTTTGTACAAAATTTGTTATCTATCATTTTCAAAATTTAAATGCAGTTTATCTAGACACACCTTTCCGTTAAAAAACGAAACACTTCCAACAATTTCTATATTAAAAACTTAGTTTCCGCTTGAATGAATATTTTCAATAACTAAAAATTGTTGTTGTGTGCCATTAACTTCCGGCTGTTTCATCAAAGGCTCAAATTGAGGTTATGAGCCATGAGAATGTATTCTATGTTTAATTATTTATAGAAATAACTTAACAAAATATACACATATTGCTAATGTGGCCCCAAAAGATGATTCCATTCTTTTGTGGTTAACCAAGATGAAAGATGGAGCGAACATTCTTGATTCTATTGTCTTTGTGCTTTATCGCAAATGCTGCCGGTTTCGAATTACTTTATGGCATATATTTACACTTCGATGATTAATAAAAATTACTAGAAATTTTAATAATATATTACATACATTTGTTAACATTCACATTCAATCATGCATTTAATATTTAATATAATTTTTGCCAAAGAAGAATGTTAACATCATGAAATTTGCCAATGGAAGCAAACAAGGATGGATATCAAAGGAATTCTGGTTGAGAGCATTTTCAAAATGGATTTTATGAAATAATTAGTAATTTTTAGAATATTTTTTTGAAGACATGGTTTATATTTTTAATATATTTTTAAAGGACTATATATATTTTTAAAGAATTTTTAAGGACCTAAATAAGGCGTGGATTTTTTAAAGAATATTTTTTCAAGGCCTATCTAAGGCGTGGATTTTTTAAAGAATATTTTTTCAAGGCCTATCTAAGGCGTGGATTTTTTAAAGAATATTTTTTCAAGGACTATATAAGGCGTGGATTTTTTAAAGAATATTTTTTCAAGGACTATATAAGGCGTAGATTTATTAAGCAATATTTTTTCAAGGACAATATGTAAGGCGTGGATTTATTAAAGAATATTTTTTCAAGGACCAGATCAGGCGTGGATTTATTAAAGAATATTTTTTTAAGGACTATATAAGGCGTAGATTTATTAAGCAATATTTTTTCAAGGACAATATGTAAGGCGTGGATTTATTAAAGAATATTTGTTCAAGGACTATAAAAGGCGTGGATTTATTAAAGAATATTTTTTCAAGGACTATATAAGGCGTGGATTTATTAAAGAATATTTTTTCAAGGACTATATAAGGCGTGGATTTATTAAAGAATATTTTTTTCAAGGATTATATAAGGCGTGGATTTATTAAAGAATATTTTTTTAAGGCCTAGAGGAGACGTAGATTTATTAAAGAATATTTTTTCAGGGCCTAGAAGATACGTAGATTTATTAATGAATATTTTTTCAAGGACTATATAAGGCGTGGATTTATTAAAGAATATTTTTTCAAGGATTATATAAGGCGTGGATTTATTAAACAATATTTTTCAAGGGCCAACTGAGGCGTGGATTTATTA